TTTATTTGCGGCAGACTTTTGTGCATTCCAGTTTATGGGTAGGATTGCACGTTTCAGTTTTGATAGTTTAACACTTGCAAGCCAGGACAGCTGCTAGTAATTCTATGTATAGCATGATATGTGTATATAAGTTGCTCTCAAGCTGAAATTGGATGGATCATGGCATGTCAATTTCGTCAAGTTTATATCTACTGCAACTGCATCTGTATACATGTACTCTTCATTTTCCTTGGAACTGAGCTGGTCCGTTTGTCTTCAGATGTTCAACGACAATATACTGAAAATCAATGTAAAAAGATGTGTGCGCCTGGCTGTCAGGCTGAGGAAGAAGTACCAGTACAAGGTAAGTTCTGATACGATCACATTGGATATTTGAGTTCCTTGTGGGCATGAGCATCATCCACTACATGGTTGGGGTTTTGAGCTTTGTTCTTGTGCAGTCACTAAAAGGAGGTTCAGAGTGCTGAAAAAAAATAAGGAAATTGAAGAATTCATGTTTCCTCTTAGAAAAAATTCCATAATTATATTCAACCATAAATTTGATCTCCAAAGGAGGACGGCGTTGGAGCAGCAGTCCTAAGCATCTCCAGGATTTTCTGTTGCGAGGTTAGGTATATAAATTATCAGGCAAATATCTTTGCCTATGGAGTTGGCTGCAGATGATTGACAGAATTTTGCATTCCTTGTTTTACAGGATAAATTGTACATATGAGGATGGTAATACCTGGAAACAGTAGTAGTTGAATCAGGGGTTGAAAGGGAAAGTAAAGAAAAAGGACCCCACAATGTTTGATGCTGTCATTGTTCCTGTTGTACAATAATCATGATGATTAAGTTATTTATGATTCTCGAGCAACCGTTTATGGCGTCGAAAAAAGAGAGGAATGGATGATGTGTATAAATCAATCTGTGATTCCAGTGGATTCAATATAGAAGAATAATACAAAGAGCCTGGTTGTCGCGTACGCGGTGTTATGTTTTTCTAGAAGTGAAAAGAAAATGCTTTGTTTGAAGGTGGAAAAGGATTTTATATTTTTCTAGATGTTAAATACTGGTGTAGAAATTAATGGGCCTCAATATTATGTTGATATTCATGAGGTCACCCTAGCAAACTATTGTTCCGTGGGAGGTTATCCGAGTGAATGCCGCAGTCTGAGAGCATATCATCAAAATACCACTCCCAATAAATGCTCAGAGAGTTGTTATGCTAAAATAGATATATTTGTCATGCTATTTTGTATAAAGATTGCTATCTTGTAAAGAAAAATTGCCACACTAGCAAAAACATTGTCAGGATTTTGCCATGCTGCAGTAGAGTAATTCTCATACGTTTTCGAGGATTCGTAACATGGAGAATTGCTAGCCTAAAAAGAAAATTTCCAACTTAATCAGAATTTGCCATGCTACCAGCAAAAAATTGCCATGCTTGCGTCGAGGAGAACCGGTGACAAATGGCCATGCTTTAAAAACATAATGTATCGTCGTGGATTTATTCGCTCAAATTGCCACGTGTCTTGCTTTGAGATTCGTACGAATGTGTCACATCACATTCGCTCGAAAAACGTCTCTAAGCTAACGTCGGATCGTTAACATTTGTAAAATTAATACTAGTAGGTTCTTTTGGTAAATTGATATTTTTTAGGAACTATAAGGGTATTATTTCTTGACTTTTTTTTGAGGGAATGATTTCTTGACTTTTTTTTTGAGAAATTATTATTTCTTGACTTGGGACAATGGTTTTTTTTTTTTTGAGGAAAGGTCATCATGGCTATGGGACAAAGGGCTTAATAAGAGAGAAAACATCGATAATGGCCCAATCAGCAGCCGTGGCCCATACAAGAGAAGGCCGGCTGTCTCCCTCGAGAAGAAGATAGAGCGAGTCTTCTTCTTCCTCCCTGCTCTGACCGAGATCCGCTCCAGTGGACTCGATTAGGGTTAGGGTTTGCCTCTCCGATCGTGAGGCGGGTTGCTACATCTGCCTTGTTCGTCGGATTCCGGTAGAATCAACCACTCGATCGACTTAATTTCCCCCGCCGGTGCTGCCTCTGTTTTGCCGAAGATGCTGGGCGGACTTTACGGCGACCTCCCGCCGCCCACCTCGGCGGCCGGCGACGACGACAAGCCGACCGCCTCCGTCTGGTCGAGCGCCACCAAGATGGCACCGCCCACCCTCCGCAAGCCCTCCGCGACCTTCGCCCCTCCCACGTCCCTCCTCAGGAACCAGCACCCCCGCCCCGCCGCCGCTCCCAAGGCCAGCGCCGTCCACCAGCAGCAGCAGCAGCAGCCGCCGCACCCCCTCCCCCTCGCCTCCGCCGTCACCACCACCACCGCAGCGTCCTTCCACCCCGCCCTCGTCGCCGTGCAGTCCACCGTGCTCGAGGAGTACGACCCCGCCAGGCCCAACGACTACGAGGACTACCGCAAGGAGAAGCTCAAGCGGGCCAAGGACGCCGAGATGAAGAAGGAGCTCGACCGGAGGCGCCGCGAGGACCAGGAGCGGGAGAGGGAGCGCGAGCTGAGGGAGGCCGAGGCACGCCTGCGGGAGGAGCAGTCCAGGGCCTCCTCCCTCAACATATCCGGCGAGGAAGCCTGGAAGAGGAGGGCCGCCATGAGCGGCGCTGGCGGCGGCGCTACTCCTCAGAGGGTCTCGTCTCCGCCCCACGGCGATGCCAGTGGCTTCTCCATCCCAGGCTCCTCCTCCTCTGGCTTGGGCGTGGGCGCCGGCGGCCAGATGACCGCTGCCCAGAGAATGATGGCCAAGATGGGGTGGAAGGAAGGCCAGGGGCTCGGCAAGCAAGAGCAGGGAATCACAGCGCCTCTGGTTGCTAGGAAGACTGATCGGAGGGCAGGGGTTATTGTCGATGAGAGCAGTTCCAGGAGGCCCAGATCAGCCAACTTTGAAGGCCAGCCCACCAGAGTAGTGCTGCTGCGTAACATGGTAAATATTTTTCCCATGACTTCTGCATAATAAGAGTACCACATTTTGTCAACATTTTCAGGTTTGTATGAATAAGGACAAAGTAGTGGTTCATGGGTTATCCCTGATTTCCCCTCTTAGGCACTGAGTTGCAAAATGCATCCTTGTGTGTTCATATACGCTGACATGTATTATGCTGTTATGCGAATATCTAAGCTGAAGTTAGTTGGTTGTCTAATTTAGATATCACCTTAGCAACCGCCAACCGTACATCTGCTGCTGTTGTTGATTTATTATTATTACTGGTTTCTCATACATAGACAGCATCTATTCTAGAATATCATCATCCAATTCTGAGCATATAGTTTTTAGTATTGTCTCTACTTGTGTGCTGGTAGCCTAATACCATCTAGCAAAATGTAGTTAGTAGTTACCTATGTGACATAATTGCCTTGCTGGTCCTGACTGATATGTGATAATTTACAGTAGAATGTCCAGTCAACACATAGACAGGTATCAGGTGGCATATGTATTTCAGAATTTTTTGTTTCTGTTATGGTTGAAGTGCACAGGCTATTGTTTGATCTATTTTCAGATGATACTGATACACACATGAACTGTAAAGACTAAAGACTTAAAATTTTGAAGGGTGATTAGCAATATATAGAGTGTGAGAATCTATTTGTGTAATTGTAATTTATATCTATGCTGTTGGTTATTTTCTACAAGAGAACTTGGGGTGGACAAGGTAGTGCAAAATCGCAACTAAATAGTTTGCTGACTGCGTTAGCTTCCAAATCTAACCACTGTATAGCATAGACAGCTCATACATGATAATTTTGGTTAATAGGCAGCTGGGAATTGTAGTCTTTACAGGTTGCTGTTGGCTTATTCAATATAAGCTGGTTGCTTTTTAGTTCAATATAAAACGTGTAACTTAAGGTCAAATTCCATGTAAAGAAAGTTCAGTGTATGATTGATTCTGTACCAGTGGGTTTATATGAGCTCTGCAATATAATCACTGAACTTGAATGTTGTGTTATTCTGGAAGGCGTACTTCCAGAAAACAGTTCTGTTCTATTTTATTAGTATAATCTTGAATAGTACTCCCTCCGTTCCCAAATATAAGTCTTTCTAGAGATTCCAACAAGCGACTACATACAGAGCAAAATGTGTGAATCTACACTCTAAAATATGTCTATATACATTCGTATGTTGTAATCCATTTGAAATGTCTAAAAAGACTTATATTTAGGAACGGAGGGAGTACTTGATGGGCATAGAACCTGATGAATTTGTCGAATTTGGGTACTACAATGGCGTTACCCAGTTTTGACCACTGAGGGTTGTGATACAAAAATATAGGTCAAACAGGTTGGGTTTTTTTTATCACAGAATGCATTCAGCTTTGTGAGTTTTCTGATGAGGCATCATTATAGTTTTATCTGTCAAGTGGTATTTGATCTTACATGATGAAGAGTTGTTTTCTGTGGGATCAGGGTTTGCCCACTGATCTACTGTGTTGTTTGACTATATGTTTGTTTTTGACTGCTTAAACTGGGGCCTTATGCTGGGACATAGTGATGATACCATAATTTTTTAGTGTTGCTTCATAATACATGTACATGATTTGTTTCTAGTTAAGGTGTGAGTTTTTTGTCTAGTGCAACATGTTCTTAATCATCACCATGAAACATGTGCAGATTGGTCCGGGCGAGGTTGACGACGAGCTGGAAGACGAGATTGCCTCGGAGTGCTCCAAGTTTGGGGCTGTGTTGCGCGTGCTGATATTCGAGATCACCCAGGCAAACTTCCCCGCAGACGAAGCAGTGAGGATCTTCGTGCTGTTCGAGAGGACAGAAGATTCAACCAAGGCGTTGGTCGAACTGGAAGGGCGCTACTTTGGCGGACGCATAGTGCACGCCACCTTCTTCGATGAGGGAAGGTTCGAGAGGAACGAGCTCGCTCCGATGCCCGGCGAAGTACCAGGGTTCGACTAAACCTTCATAAGCAGACTAAAGAACTGGACGTTGGTGTCTCGGGTGTAATTTAATCTAGAGCATGAACGCTGTTTTTCTCTTTTCTTTTGAGGACAGTTTACGGCATGTTGACCTATTGCCGTTTTATTATTGCAGAGTTGTTATTGTTATATATTCTTTGTCTAGATGTAGGGGTGAGCATCTGCATCGCATTCCCACTTTCCTTCTTTTTTTGAGTGTGCATCAGGTATTGTTGTTTTATTTCTTAGTACAAAATAAATTCTGGCACCCAATGGTTTTGGCAATATTGATCCCTCAAGCCCAAACATCCACCTCTCTTTGTCAGGAGATTCTGGTGCATATTGTGCTCATCGTCTGCAGACTCCACCAAAAACTGACCTTTGGTAATTGTCAAAAAAAAAAAAACTGACCTTTGGTAAGATCGAAATGTCGACATGTTATATGCACGAATGACCTGAAAACATAGTACACGAATGACCTGAAAACATAGTACCCCGTCCGTTCCTAAATATAAGAACCCTTTTAGAGATTTCAATATGGACTGGAACACGAACGGAGGGAGCAGAAGATAAAACTGCTCATTCAGTTCTCTCTGTTTGTCTGAATTTTTATACCACCGCAGAAGGCAGTTTGATAATTCAATCGACGACTGGGAAAATAAATCACTGATAACATTTATTCATCAGGCGCTTACATCAGGAAATCAAGAAAAGAAAACTCGCAAGAACGAAAAGAGCATTAAAGACGAAAGAAAAAGAGTAATGAGCACGGTTAAACTGAAGCACCCTGCTGTGCCTGCGCGTGGTCTGCCGCTCATCGTCACTCGTCAGCTCGGGCGCGGGCGCATTCCATGAGGTGAACTCGCCACGGCGGATCAAAGGGCGACGGCGGTACCACAAGCCGGCACTCATCCTCGAGGGCCCAGCAGCCGTGCGCGGTCCTGCGCCTCGTACCAGATGTTCGGCGTCACCTTTGTCGGAATCGGCACCGCCAGTCGTTATCATTGTCACCGCGACTCCTCCCAAATCACCCACGCTCCTTCGCCCGTGCAAACCAGGCGACAGAAATCATTAACTGCAAACGTTTACACGCACAAAACGAGAGTAAAAAAAATTAGGACTGGCTAGATGTCAATCGACTGATCATTTTTTTTTTCATATAACAGGGGCCTTTGGATTAAGATACAATTCATACGACGGGGGCCTTTCCATCAAGACAAAAGCGAATAAACCTTACAAATGTAAGAATACAAATTGGGAAAAGCTTCCTTTCCGCCGGCGGATCTCACGCAAACATCAACCGCCTCTTCCATCTGCCACGTGCTACCTTGGCCCACGTCTTCCTCGCAATCTTATCTTTTCCAGAGAAATCAAGGTCAAAATATCTCACGTCGCTCTCCTCTATCTCTCAGGTCACCGCACATATCTTTTTGTTGCTCACACACGAAGTGCCTTGCAGTCAAGCAGCCATGGATTTTTCCTCATTCCTTCCAGCACCTTTTTGCAGCAAGCCATGGCGCCCCAAGCTGCCAATCTATGGATATGCGGTCGAGCTGTTCGCGGTTGCTAGGAGCTGCTACTGCACAGACTGAGTTTCTGCAACAGCGGCGTTGTTGTGATGCGGCGAAGCTAGTGCAAATACGACGCAGTTACGAGTTTCCGCAATGTAGTCTCTGTTGCAAAAAAGAATTGCAACAAATGTTTTGTTGCAGGAATACGACGCGGCGACGAGATTCTGCAACATGATTTATGTTGTAATTTTTTTGAAACAAAGGTTTTTTTGGCAGAAATACAGAGTAAAAGCTGAAGATGTTGTTGCAAATTTTGCAACAAGTGTCTTGTTGCATAAATACAAAAGGAGGTCAGAGATGCTTTTGCAAGAAAGGTCATGTTACAACAGAGGTCTCACAACAGGTGTCTTGTTTCAGAAAAATAAGAAAGAGAAACGACTGGAAGGCTCATGTTGTACAATCGGACGGCTCGCGCCCCGGCCGATCTTTTGAAAAGATCAGCTGGCGGACGCATAGCCGACTGGAGGGCTCATGTTTTAACAAGGTCATGTAGTTTTTGCAATATGGGTCCTATTGCAGAAAATTAGATGTGGCGGAGATGTTGTTTTAATTTTTGCAACAAGGGTCTTGTTGCAGGAAATTAGACGCAATGAAAGATGTTGTTGCAATTTTTGCAATAAGGATCTTATTGCAGAAAATTAGACGCGTGGAAGATGTTACAGAAAATTAGACGCGTAAAAAATCTTGTTGCAGAAAATTAGACGCGGCGAAAGATGTTGTTGCAATTTTTCTAAGGGTCTTGTTGCAGAAAACTAAAGAAGAAGAGCTTTTGCAAGATGAGTCTTGTTGCAGAAAATTGTAGAAGATGAGGTTTCACAACAAAGGTCTTGTTGCAGGAAATAAGAGAAGACCAGATCTTGCAACAAGAGCATTGTTACAGGAATTGCTCTTGTTGAGAAACCGCGCGTGGCGCAGATCTATAGGGGGCCAGGGGCAAGAGTGCTATTATTTCTGCAATAGAGCGGTTGTTGCGGAAAATAACTAGTATATGCGGGGCACAGGTAGTAGATCGGGCGGCTATCAGGTCGGGCATCCAACGACCGTGAAGGTGACGGATAAAATCAAAAAATCGGCCGGCAGACGCGCAGGGTCGCCCATACAAAATGCGTTACGAAGACTAAAACAAGAGCAAATGCCTGCCTGAACTACTGTTATGGGGAGGATAACTGGCTAACGACGTCCAACACCATGCCTGTAAATATTTGTTATAGCAAGGTGAGTACATGACATACTCTGCAAGACTTACCGGAGCCCTACATTATTTATGGATCAGGTATCAAACGGGGGCTAGGGGTTTAGCGGCAGCAAGCACTAGCACCTACAGAGACACGCTACAACTTATGCTATCAGAGATAAGGAAAAGAGAGTGTATGAGAACCATCTACGCTAAACGTTGTGCAACGCAACCCCATGGTTGCGCCCACGCTGAGCATCTATCCTATCACAAACATAACAGAGCCTTGCATTCTCCTTTGCACCACCCACACAAAGAAGAATCCCCAAGGCGTTTAGTTGGAAAGTTTTATTAAATAGTTAAAAGTTGTGCAAACTCTATTACTAACAATAGTATTAAGGGTTGGCAAGTTTTGGAGATTACAACTTGAACTTGTGCTATGATGAAGTCACCGAGCTCCAAGTCGTCCATAACAGCTGACATTATTATTAGAATATATTTATCCCTGCAGGGGTGCACCAGTATGCCTTTTATAAGCTCCACAACCAAAACCAACTATTCGCTTAAAGATCCATCGATCTTCACCTTCATGAAGTGTTCTAGCGGCTTCTCTGAGCTACAGTCGCAACGTCGGAGGAAAATTGTGGTTGAACTAGGATGGAGACTCAATGCCGCGACGAGGCTTGTGTCAACTCGAGGACACATATCACCTACTACGAGAGCGCTATCGATTGCCATTGTGTCGGCTTTATCACCTGCAGGGCATAAACATGAAAAGCTACAACTTGTGATTTTTTAAAATACAATTATTTTAAAATGTATTCATGAATTTATAAAGTTTACATATTCAATAGAAATTTACTAATTTAAGGTGATCACGAAGTTAAAAAATTCTCGAATATTTAAAAATATATTCCCGAATTTAGAAAATATTCGCTCTTTTAAAATAGGTGCATGAATTTTTAAAAATGGTCACGAACTTGAAAAAATGTTTTATGAATTAAGAGGGTGTCTACAATTTTTTAAACATTTAATAAAACTTAAAAAGGAGAAAGGAAAAATACGAACAGAAGGAGAAAGGGAAATGAAAAACGCAAAAGAAAACCGATAGATATAGAGAAAATTAAAAAAGGGAAAAGAAAAGGAAAAAGCTTACCTTCAACCGACCGATAACGCTCGCGCGTCCGCCGGCTCAGCGTCCGTCGGATCGTGTGTTGATCAGACGGACGAGAGCGTTCCTCGCTTCCGCGTCACGCGCAAACGTTTCTGAAACTGGGCGGCTGTTTCAGGAATCATTTATGCAGCCGTAACGCTCTCGTAGTGCTCCCGCTCCCGCAGCTCCGTTGTGTCTGTTAGGGCGGCGGTGGTGGGATCTGGTAGGGCAACGGCGGGCGGCGACGGCGCTCGGTGACGCGGGCGCATCCAACGCGGTGGCGACGACGACACAAGCAGGTACAGCCACGTGCTCCTTCCCCTCATTTCTGGTCGGCTCTCAGATGGTTCTCCTCTGCTCGGCAGCTCCTCCTCGGCGGCTACGCGGGCTCATCGCAGTGGTGCTCTGTTGTAGTGAGGCACCCTTGTCGGCGCCACCGATTTAGGTGTTGGACTGTAGATGTGTAGTTGTAGCAGGGGATTGGGATTTCTCATATCTGTTTTTGTTGCAGAAACTTCTGATTCCTTTGTAGCTAAAATTGGCTCGTTATAGTGATGTGTTGTAGGAATTTTTGTAGCCCAAATTTGGCTGTAGGTGCTCCGTGTATGCTATTCGTTTGTTGTGCTATTAGGTAATGTTCTAGGTTCTCCTGTCCTTTGATGTTCTAGGTTGTTATAGCTCAAATTGGCTAGTAGGTAATCTTTGAATTTTTGCAGCTCAAAGTTTTTTGTAGCTTTCTGGCTTGAATATTAGTGATACATTATTTTGATGTTCAGAGAGAAGTTTCTGTAGCCAATTTGATGTTCAGATAGAAGTTTCTGTAGGAATTAGTGATGCATTAGTGTAGGTTATGCTTCAGGAATTTTTGTACTGCTAGCTTATAGCACAGGAAACTTAGTTTTTGCTTCTGAAACTACAGATATGTTTTCTCTGAAATTTAGTTATTGTAGGTCATGTTTCAATACTTTTCTCTGAAACTACTCATGCAGTTATCCATTTTGTTTTCTCTGAAACATATCTGTGTTTCAGTACTTTTTCCAATACTCATGCAGTTATCCATTTTGTTTTTTTAGAGAAACATATATGTAATTTCTTTTTAGTTCAAAGCTTCTGTAGCTCATGCAGTTATCCAGTTTGTAGTTTCAGAGAAACATATATGTAATTTCAGAAACAGTAGCTATATTTTAGAGAAACTTACGTTTCTGAAACTATTTAGTAGGTTATGTCTGTAGCTTATGTTTTGTGAAACTACATGGAATGTTTGTACTGCTAGCTTATAGCACAGGGAACTCAATTTTTGCTTCTGAAACTACATATATCCTTTCTCTGAAATTTTAACTATTGTCCCAATACTTCTCCATGATTTTTTAGCTCATGTTTATCTGAAATTAGTTGGATTAGCTAATTTTCTTTCAAACCTTGTTTTGCAGAATGCCTATCTTCCAAACTCGTTGGTCAGCAAAGCGGCTGCGCGAAATAGCCAATGACATCAAAGGGAAAAAGAGAGATGTAATAAGCAAGTCCAGCTTCGAGGATTTGCTGTTTATATCTCCTTTGGTCCCTCCTCCTGAAGAGCTTCTTGATTTCATTATTATGAACATTGACCCTAAGAATCGTGTGCTGAAGTATGTAATCTTAGCCTTTTTCTTGTATTTCTTTTCTGTTGCATAACACCTTTTGTTTTCTTTATTCTCGCAACATCTACTGATTTTTTTTGTGAATTGCAGGATTAATGACCACAAGGAGATCCACTTTTCAAAAGACATGGTTAAGAAGATATTCAATGTCCCATCTGGTAGCAGACCGATAGAGTTTGGGAAGAGGGGCAAAGCTGATTTCCGTGAAGTTTATCTGCACGGCGGGGATAGGGCTCTGATAGCCAGCGCAGTTTCCGTCTTATCAAAAACAGATGATGATGACACCATCGAGAGGTCATGGGTATTACTGTGCCTGGCTTTGGTCCTAACTCCTGGGACAGGAAACATGGTCCCCCTAGATTATCTTTACACCCTGCGAGATATGAGTATGGTCCATGAGTTTGAGTGGGATGAGCATATCATGTGTGATGTGATGAGAGAAGTTAAAAAATACCAGGATAGGAGGAATGAGGGTAGAGGGAAATTTCTCATCGGTGGATGTCTACCAATGCTTCCGGTACACCCTTGATTCCTGTAACATCCCACTCCTTTTATCCCGCAACAACAAATCTTTTTATTGAGGCGCTGATGTTTTCTTTTCTTTTTTGTGTCTTTTTTGCAGATAATTTACATGGACCATCTTGATGTGCCAAGAGGATGCTTAGTTGATCACACCATCAACTACTCGCTTCCTAGAGCTTGTTTTGTTCATGAAATGGACTTTTATGCTATTGTCGCAGTGGACACCCTGGATGATGGGTTTGGGAAGCGTCCAGTAAGTGATTGAAACTGAAAGACCTTGCTTTTTCTGTTTTTATATAGAAGCCATTTGTCTGTTGCAATTCTTAACTATTTTTCTCGTCTTTGTAATGCAGTTCAGGACCAGTACACCGTACGCAGTAGTTGAGTTCATGTCATATGTAGATCAACATCACCAAGGAGCTGCAAGTGAACATGTCACAGAGGAATTATCGGAAATCAGCGAGCAAGGGTGTGCTGTTGGGGGCGCAACACACACTCCAGATGTGCCTAAGAGCTCACACATGCAAGCAAATGTACATGTGGGAGCAGATGCAGGTTCTCAAAGCCCACCTCACGCCAGTACAGGGGGTACCAATGGTAGCGCAGAGCATGTGCATGAGCCGCATCCATCTAACATGGAGAGTGGTGACGACGTGTGCGGCTCTTTGGAGGAGTGGCTCCATGCATTGCCAACAATCGAGGAGTTAGAGGTGGTTTTTTTTCTCGCAACTCATTTTTTCCTTTTTTTCCTTTTTCATATTTTTTGCACCTTAATTTCACTGGCATGTTACAAACTACTGTCCCTACCAATCTAACGCCATTGTTTCCGTGCATCGCAGTTGCCCCCACAGATGCAAGTCATATTTAACAAGCACAAAGAGCTCCATGCCAGAGAACTTAATGTTGCATTCAGCTCATTTGGGAGGGTCTTGCAAGGCATGTACTGCAAGCGAATGGGCCTAATGTTGTCTGAGGCACACAAAGCTGAGTGCAGCATTCATGGATAGAGAGCCGAAGGTGAAGGCATCACTTTCAGTGTACCAGGGGGGACTTCTGCTGCAGGCATGTCTAATGGGGCTGCAACTGAACCTGTTGCGCAACAGCCCAAGCATCCGGAGCAGCCCAACATTCACCATGTCACTGTACCGCCTCCGCAACAGCCCAAGCAACCAGCCACTGCCACTGTACCATCTCCGCAACAGCCCAAGCAACCAGCCACTGCCACTGTACCATCTCCGCAACAGCCCAAGCAACCAGCCACTGCCACTGTACCATCTCCGCAACAGCCCAAGAAACCAGCAGCGGAAGTAGGTCAAAACAATGATGCCCCACCCAGGATGAGCGATGACAACACCAAAAATGATCAAAGCAACGACAATGATCAGAGCAATGGCAGGGGAGAAGACTCATGCAGCAAGGCAAACAACACTGAATTTAAGCCTCCTCGCAGCCCAAGCTTCGCACATGTGAATCTGACGAGGAGGCCAGGCACGCTTGAAGATGGACCTTCTTTTGGATTGTTTGAACCAGGGAGTGATGATGATCTACTATTTCAGGAGTTTCCTCAAGTTCGTACATCCCCTGCAAAAACTTTTGTTGCAGATTTGGACTCCTTCTTGTCGATCCGTATGAGGAGCCCTTTGTTTGGTGAATCTCCGGCTACCTCAGCTGGGCCAGTTTACGATGTGACTCCCATCGCAACACGTCCTCCAATTTCGGCAGGCCCTGCGGGTTATTTGCACTCATCTCTCCCCAACTACTTTGTGCTCAAACCCATGTTTTGTTTTGTTTACAGAAACTCAGCATTTCCATGCTCCAAACCATTACTTTTTCTCATCTTGTTTCTATTTTCTTTTTCATTTTCATTTGTGGGGCAGAAGCAGGAGTAGCTGAGACAAGTGAGGAGGTGGTGATTGAAGCAAGCAGCGGGGGAAAACGTGATGCGAAGAAGCCCACACTCAAGAGAGTTGAAAAAACGCCAGAGAACGCACCGAAGCTAAAGAGGATGAAGAAGATCATAGTTAATGCTTCCGACGATGCCATATATAAGCAGTATTGTTGCACAAATTACCACATAAAGGACCCTCCTGAAGGCAAGCCCTTGTAAGTGTGTTTTAGCCCTTTTTTGTGCTGATAAATTGTTCGTTCCATCCATCTTGTTTGCCACTAACCGAGCCACTATTTTTTTGCAACATGCATACCTCCATTCATTAGGATAGGTGGGTTTGATGTTTCGTTCAAGCATTTCAGCAATGGGCTAAAAAAGCGAGCACATTTGAACAATGAGGTCATGTCGCTTTATGTTGAAAGCTTCAACATCGAGCACATGTATAGCAAAAGAAAACCTAGGAAGTTTGCGTTCTCACCGCATACAGCCGTGAGTCAACTACCCATTTTTTATTTTTTCACAATAGAGTTTCTCCCCACAACTTCCATATCTTTCTAACCAATACCTTCTTCTTTGCATCAGTCCAAGCTTGCCGTGGACCCAAGCTCATTTCAGACACGTTCTTGCAGCAAAGATCTTGAGAGGGCCTGTGAAAGAAACAACATCATGAAATCTGATCAAGTAAAGAAAATGTTCTTGCATCAAAGCTATCCTAGCACAACATGCTCTGTTTTTCTGAAGTTATTTTTTTGTTTCTTAATTTTGCAGTTGTTCTTCACCATTGTCAAGGACGGACACTGGGAAGTTGTGGTTGTAAACTTGATGCACAAACAATTCAACGCCTTCGACTCAAGGGGTGATGATCCTGACTATGTCAACATCCTCGAGAAGCCATGTTGCAATCTGGTATGGACGCTACACCTCTTTCCTTTCTCTTTTTTTCATTTTTTCTCTATATAAAATTTGTTCTTGTGGTACCAATCATACAAGATACAACTGTGTAATCCATCTTTTCGCAATATCAAATTTTGTAGATAGCCAACTTCAAGACTTTGGTCAGAGAACAAAACCCATGGAACCTTGACTTTGACAAGTTTGATCGTCTCAGCCCGAATGGGTACCCGCAGCAGTCAACAACATATTGTTCTCTGACCATTTTCCTTTTTTTCATGTGTCTATCCACAACTTTTTTATGTTTTGTTGTCAAGTGAGCAAATTTTATATGTATTTGTGACTTTTTTTTTATTTTTGACAGGTTTGATTGTGGGTTGTTTGCTATTCTATACATGGAGAATCTAACTGGCAGGGGGATGAGACCATTCAGCACGGTATGCCCTTTTTGCTATGCAACACTACTAACTAAATAACTTGTTGTTTTCGGAGCACTTGTTGTTTCCATTTTTGCTAGTTTTCTAATGGTAATCATGTTTTTTGAATTTTTCTCCTAACTAACTTACAAAGCTCCCTTGTTGTATGCCCAGGACACGAGGTCATTGCTCAAATTCCGATCATTTGTTGCAGCGAAGCTTTTTAAGCACCCTCAAAACACACTCAACTCAGCCAAAGAGTTCCAGAAACTGTTGAGTAGCTCGTAGAAGATGTCAATCGGAGCAAAGTATTTCCTAGATAGTTTTAGGCTGCTTTTTTGTGGACAATTGTATGCGCTACATCCTTTTTGTGTAACCAGAAACAACAAGATGTTGTTAACCATCTACTTTATCTTTTGTGGAACCCAAGCTGGAGCATGTATCATGCTGGGGCATGTCCCTTTTTTCCTCTTTTTTATTTTGAAATATTGGAGCATCACCCATGTTGTGCTGTCAATGTAAACTTGAGTGCTATCAATGTGAACTAGAGACGGATGCAAAGATGAATGAAAATGACTAGGGTTTTTGAACTATCCATGCAGATATGTCAACTATCCATGTTGCAGTTTTTTTTTGCTTACTGGTTTTCTGAAATAAGGTGTCCTACCCATAACAACACATGCCATATACAAGCATCCATGTATACAATAGCTTTTTTTGCAACCACCGGAAACATGATGTCGCAACTCGAAACAAATGGTACATTCATGTATATACAAATGGTACATTCACGAAACAAAGCATTACGGGAAATATGGAAAAGACCTCAAAACTACGGCACAAAGTGAGAGATACCTTGTATGTCTCAAATCCAGGACACACATAACATATCTTGTAACAAAAATGTGAGCTATCTTTTTGTATGTCTCAAATTGGAATAGAACCTAAATACATCATCAAGGTTGCAAAAAAGAGTATTTTATGTGTTTTTTGCTCAAGCACATGTAGTGAGTCTGAAAAGAAAATGCAAAACATCCTCCAACAGGACCAAGAACTTTCTCATGTCTTTTCTCTCATTTTTTTTCTTCCTAGAGGTTGAGTTGCATTGCTTGGGCATTTCTTGGATCATTTGTCATCATGGCTCTCCAGTATGCACAAGTTGGTACAGTATGCCCCACCTCGAAGCAGAATTGACATGTAGGCGGTGCTGTCGCCGCCTCTGTTGCAGCTTATAGGGGTCCACATGTCTGCATGTTATGACCTTCTTCTTTGCAGAACTTCTAGCGAATACTTCTTTTTTCAGATTTTGGCTTCACTGCTGCCATTGGCTTCTTCTCTTCTTGTTTTGACTTCTTCTGCTTATCATCTAGCTGCTCCACCAGAGTCTTCTTCCTCTTCTCTCTTTCAGTTGGCCAGACTTTCTTTGGGACACGAGCTGGGTTTCGTAGCATCTCTGTGCTTTGAGGCTGTGGTAGGTCATCATTCAACGCTCCCATTGTAGCCGCAGGTTGCGTTGGGGATTCACTGCGTTGCGTTGCTTGTTATTCTGGCAGTACCCCTCTTTTCACCGCAGCAATGGCAGGCTCAAGAACTTTTATTGCTTCATCTAATATCTTGTATGCATCATCATTGCAACATGCATCAGAGGCGAGCCATGTCAACCTTCGGCACAAGGAGTTGTATTTGAGCGTGTTTGTCGAGGGGTGCTCAAATTCCAGCAATCGCCCAGTTCTGGCCATGCTTGTTGTTGCTGCTTCAGACCACCTTTCCAACAAGTATTGTTGTGGAATAACTTGCACATTGAGGTGCACCATCACCCTTATTATGTGGGCGCAAACCAGGCCATTCATCTCAAAGTAGTGGCAACTACACTGGAACACCCCTTCATCCATCATAACACGCACAGAGAAGAGCTTTGGGTTCTCATATAAGCTTGATGTTAGATTGAACATGAGGCCTCACCCTTGGTACTCAGCGTCTTGGTTGATAATGTAGCCCATAGACGCAGTCACTTGTTTCTAGAACTTGCCAAAGACGTTGCGTGTGTAGTAATCAGCAGCTTGGCGCTCAATGTTGTATCTGAAACATCACAAAAGGAAGCAAAGTTCTCAAAACAAAGCATGAAAAAACATTTTTTTGGATTTTTTTCTTTGGTATAGTGAAGCTGGCCTACCGAGAGTATAGTGGAGGAGCAGTCATTTCACCAGTGAACCCAACATTGTCCTCGCGATCAAGCACAGTTTCCTGGCACAGTTCATACTGTTGCACAAACCTCCATACAGAATCAGCTGGACGAATCATTGTCTTGAAATATGAGTTCAGCCCCTCGGACCTACCTGTCGTACTTGTGAACGGGAAGAAATTGTTCTTGAAGTACGCTGGAGCCCACATATGTCTTCTTCGCCGCATGTTCTTCAAGTGTTTGTTTTCAGCAACTTCGAAACACTCCAACATGTGCTGCCATGTTTCCTCAAATTCTTCAACCGTTTCAGAGTTGTTGATACAAGTGTAAAACACATCTGCAAACGCCTCATTTCTGCTCAGCAGCCTCCCCAACTTAGAACGCGTGTTGCTAAACACATGAAACTTGCAACACCTATGGCAAGTATTTGGGAGCACCTGCTCTATAGCTGTCGCCATTGCTTGGTCCTGGTCAGTCATTATGTTCTTTGGATGCTCATTGTCCATTGCAACCATCCATTGCTCAAAGACCCACTTGAACGTTTCAATAGTCTCATCCGGCAACAAAGAGCACACCCGAGTGAAATGGTTTGGAGGTGATTGTTGATACCAACTATAGGACCAAAGGGCATGTTGTATCTGTTAGTGCAGAAAGTTGTGTCAAAGAACACGCAATCTTTATATTTCGGGTACAACGCCCTTGTCCTCCCATCAACCCAAAACAATGCAGTGACAGAGTTCGTGGCAGGATCTTTTTGCTTCGCAAAGAAAAACTCTGGATTCTCGGCCTTCCTCCTCTCAAAGTACTTCACTGTCATATCCATGTCATGTTGTGTTATCGCTTCCCGAAGCTTTGTACGTTCATTCGCAACATCCCTCTTCACGTACGTCAGTATCCTAGGGTCACCTCCATGTATCCTGCCAAGAAAACTCATGCAATCTGAATTTGACAGGTTAATATCATGCAATGTCAACAAGAGTTCGTAATCTTAAGCAGGTATTTTGCGGTGCGAGCGGTAGTATCTAACACACTCTGGTTGTTGCATCAGTGGATATGTATGCTCTGCAACAAAGCAAGTGACTGTCAATCTCCCATCCCTAAGCCCAACAATCATGTGTGCCTTACAATCATGACGGAGAATCCTGTTTTTCTGACGCGTTCTTGTCACATCCATTTCGGCACCAGGGCGCCTGCTGGAGTTGCTTGTTTCTGTTGCAATGCTCTCTGAGGTGCTACTTGTTTCCGGTTTATCGGGCTTTCTAGCGTGCACACACCCAAAGACCCTCTTGATCATTATTGCATCCTCTTGCTTCTGTCCTCTCTTTTGGCTGTACTTTGTAGAAGATATATGTGTGTCGAATCCCAACTTGAAGGCATAGTCATTGCAGAATTTCTGGGCATCCTCAAATGTGTCAAACACCAATGCAACATAGGGCGATAATGGCTGTGATGAAACATCTCCATCATCTGAATCATCTTGCATCACATCATTAGCATGCAACAATCCCTCTGAATCTTCATGATTATCGACAGAAAAGTTCTCTTGGACATAACTCTCTTCCCCTTCAGCACCAGCTCCCTGAAATAAGGCACATGTTTTTTCATGTAAATAGAGAGGTCTTGGTTGAAAGTATTTTTTTTCCTATAGTTGCTATAAACAGTTCTATTTGTTGTTTCAGAAATTCAGGTACACAGATACATTTATCAACGGTGTTTTAGCTTCATTTGCACACAAATTTTCAGTCAATGGCCTTTTCTCACATAAGCACACACATTCAAAATCGTATCATAGGTTGATAAATAACCACTAATAGAGAGGATCATGTTTTGCAGAGATAGAGCAAGCACAGATGTGTGTGGGTATTTGCCTTGGTTCCACTCACACACACACACATATATCTGTCGATAAATTTGAATTTCTAGCTGCCACACACATAAAACAAATAGAAAATACTACCTATGTTTCTAATACATAGGATTTTCCATGAGTTTCAGAGACACACAAGTCTTCATGTTTTTGAGAGTCAGAGACACATAAATGTTCATGTTTTTTCAGAGACTCACACACATGAAACAAATTTGAATTTTGAGCTTCCACACACATGAAAACAAATAGGAAATTCTAGCTATGTTTCTGATACATAGGTTTTCCATGAGTTTCAGAGACACACAAGTGTTCATGTTTTTTCAGAGTCAGGAAACTCACCCAGCTGCCCTGATTTGATCTGGTAGAAGTTGTTTCAGGAAACACAACCGGAGGGTTCGTGAACCAGGATGATACTCCAGCTCACGGAGGAAGCCCCGCGGCCGCGGTCGGAGCTGAGAACGATGGCCGCGGCTGTTCTCCAAGAGGCGGCCCCCGGCGAGCTCGATCTGTGTCGGATCCCAGCATCTGCCGCGCGATGTGGTGCGCCATGTTGTTGCAGGAATTTTGCGCTGAAGGACTAGGTGCCTCCGCGCGCCGGCGGCAGCAATGTTTGTGGTGGTGGCGACTGCCGCCGCGCTGGGGCGGAGCTTTGGCTGGTGGACGGCGGACATGAGATTCTGTTTCTGAAACAGAACGGCTGTTGCAGGAAATAAAGACCCGGTCAGTTGCGGGCAGTCATCCGACGACTGTTAGGTGGCTAATCCAACGGCTCTCCGGACGGCGGATGATTCTAACACATCGGCCGGCAGACGCGTAGCGGTTCCCAAAAGAAAAACGGAACGAAACAAACCGTAGAAAACAACACAGGAAGGCCGATTGGGCCGGCCCATGTACGCGCGGAAGGCCGATTGGAACTCTATACGCGGAACCGGAAGTGCCCTCTCCTTTCTCAGCATCGTCGCCCCGCAAACCTAGCGTGCTCCCCGCCGCCGACGACAGCGCCCCAGCCCTCCACTCCGGCGACCGGCGGTGCACCTCGGCGTTCTTCTCCCCCACGTATTCAACCGCGGCAGGCACTCAGCAATCAGGCAACGTGAGTCCGCAGCTCCTCTCATCCTCCACCTCAAATCCTTGTTCAGCTGCTCCTGCACTAGTTCCGTATGTAGGCCATACGTGGATGCTTGCTCATATGCCTTCTGTGGAGACTCTAGCAGTAGCGCTTGCACTGGTTCCGTGCGTAGATGGTACGTACATAGATGGATGGCGCTTGCAGTTGCAGGCGAGCACGCCAACTGCTTGATAAAATGCCCACTGCACAGAGAGAATGAGAAGGAAGAAGAAGATGAGGTGGCAAGTGAGGAGAGAGGGAAAACCCGCCTACACGTGACCGGTTTTGTCATCTACTCTGGTTTTGGACGAAATTCGTCCGGTTTTGAGCACGAGGGACAAATTGTCGCCCAAAACAAGTCCATGGATTGGAGGTCGACTTTCAGTAAACTTGAGGGACGTACTGTTTGTGCCACTCAGTACGATGCTTGGCAAAACACAATAGCATTAAGTTGGGGATTGTTAAGTTGTAAATAACCCCTGAAATTATATTGCAAATATACTCTGTCAATTTTTTTGTTAAACCCTAACCTGTCCTGAAACATGTGATTGCCTATACCTGAATTTCTGAAACAGTGTGTGCTCAGTGTACTGGTGCGCTGAACCTGAATTTCTGGAAGCTTTTCAATTTTGGTATTGACCGACCACTGAACCGATTTTCTAGATTAACCGAAATACTGACTGCGATTTTGACTGACATTTTTTGTTAGCTTTAGTCAATAACCAAATCTGTCCAAAAAAACAAAACCAAAATGTACTAACCAAATTTCCGGTTTATACTGAAGACTCAGGCCTAGTTGACGATACAAGATGGCGCCACTAGCACGTAAGCACCGCAAGGCATCACCTTCCCCCTCCCCCTCGGAGGCTTCTTCCAATTCAGGCAGCGACTCTGAACTCCACCTTGATGACCACTCCGACCCAGAGGACAGCTTCTTCTCCACAAGGAGCGCCGCCGATGACGACGTCCAGGAATCCTCCACCGTACCGCCCTCCCCTCTCATTTTCCTTTTCCTCTGAGGGGTATGGGTTGCTTAGCTGTTTTGTGCCTATCTCTCTCTCTCTCTTGTTAGAGTGACGAGGAGGAGGACGATGAGGAGAGCCTCCATGAGGAGGATGACGACGATGAGGAGAGCCTCCATGAGGAGGAGGATGATGGTGAGATGGGAGAGCTCGAGCAGCAGTATCGCACCCTCCAGGCCAATCAACAGTAATGTCTCCTTTCGGCCCTTCTTCGCCATGCCTCCCTTTCACACGGTTTACTATAGAATCTGCTTCATCATCTCACTTATATTCTTCTCTTCTACCTTGCAGAAGCATTCTTCAAACCCTGAAACAACACAGGGATGATGATGTCTCAAGAGGCCAGGCAATCAAAAACCAAAAGGTATTTTCTTATATGTGCTTTGCATAACATCTACTCACCATGATATGTTCAATTGCATCCTTTACATTCAGTGTTTAAGCTTTCAAACTATTAACCTCTACATCCAATTGCTGCTTACTGAAGGCGCTATGGGATAAGACCCTGGAAATGAGATTCTTGCTGCAAAAGGCATTCTCCACTTCAAACAAGCTTCCCAAGGTCTGTTGTTTCTCTCATATGACTGCCAGAACATGCACCTTCGTTTCTTCATCTTCATTGATTTTACTTCTGAAGAAACATATATTTTATTCTGTTCTTGCAGGATCCATCCAAGTCAAGGTTCTGCAGTCATGATCAGGAGATAGAGCAAGCATATGTTGATCTGTTGGACTCATCAAAACAGACTCTCGGTTGCATGCTGGAGCTGCAGAAGGTTCACTTACCTGCTCATGTTTTTTGCTTCAGTGCTATGCTACCACTGCTATCCATGTGCCAGAACCATGAGTTGGTCACGAGATCTTATGGGTTTCACCTCTAGCCTACCCCAACTTGTTTGGGACTAAAGGCTTTGTTGTTGTTGTTGTTGCTGCTGCTATGCTACCGCTATACTGTAGTTGTTCCAGGTTTTCTTACTGTGCGCAATATGCTTTTTCAAAACTACCTGTAGGCTTTACTGGAGCAGAATCAGGCTGCAAAGGGTGCGAACGGTAAAACTGCTATCCAGTCTTTCTCATTCTGGAAGATGCCTTGAAACATTCGTTAATCCTGACTTAATGACAGATACATTGCCTGACTCGAATGGAGAGAGTGACGAGTGGTTGCAAGTACAGAAATTGCATACAAGGTAACCTTTTGCAGCAACAGAAACTCTGATGAAGTACTGCGGGATATATTCTTCGATGTGTTACAATGTCTTGCGTAGCAGAAGATCTTTTGTTAATCAGCGCTATGCAGTTCTGCCCTTGTATGCTTACCATATCCTGTTAGTAGAATGTGTTTTGTGCTTTAATACGGACCATCTAATGATTTAAACTCTTCCCTGGTCCTTCATTATAATAATCTCTTAAATGTCTTTGAGTTAGTGAATTGTTTGTTTGGCTCTTTATAAGTAATAAAAAATTGGTTTCATCTTTACAAGACCTTTGTTTTCTATATTGCTAATTTGCTACGTACCATGATTTTTGTACAGAATAACCCCTTTCAGAAATACCGAGATAGATAAATGGCAGAGGAAAACACAGGTCACAACTGGAGCTGCTGCACTGAAAGGAAAGTTGCACGCATTTAATCAGGTTGGTTGAATGCCTATTTAACTACTTCTAGTAATTTTTTATTGTGAAACAGGCCTGGATTTAAAAAGCTAAGACCCTTGCTTTCCATGTTGTATGAGAACAGAACATAAGTGACCAAGTTGCTGGTTACATGAGAGACCCAAGCAGGATGATTCACCGGATGTACTTGCGGAAATCTGATGTTGGTGTATTCGGGGAGGTATTTTATATGCATCTGTTATGAGGGCCACCAGTCATATTTCTGCTTTATAGTGAATAATTTGTGTCTTCTCATTCAATTTGCAGAGTGCAGCAGAGCCTGCTACTACCGTTGAGGTTTGAGCAATACTTCATTCTTTACTTGGAATAATTTCAAGCTTGCCTGCCTGTCTCTCATTTTGTTCTATTCGAATTTCGTTATGTAGACCAGTTAGACTCGGTTATCAACCTAACCGATTAATTAAGTTAGACTAATTTTGGGGATATTTCCACCACCAATCGAATTATATATATACTGTATGTGTAGTGCACTTGCTGGTCTCATATGCTCACCCCTTGTTTCAACACAGGGGAAGGATGTGGAAGGTGATCCTGAACTTATTGATGATTCTGAATTTTACCATCAACTTCTCAAGGAGTTTCTCGAGTCATGTGATAATGGAGCATCTGGTTAGTTCATATCCAACAATTGTGTATCTGCGCTGTTTTTTTTTAAGCCCTGAATGCATATATGAGCCATGCTGCTGCAATTGTTGCAGAGTCTGCATTTTATGCTCTAAGGAAGAAGCAGAACAAGAAGAGGAAACTCGTCGATCGCCGCGCTTCAAAGAGCAGAAAGATAAGGTAGAGTTACTTTCGGTACAGTTGGTTTTCCTTGCAGGCAATTGTGTATTAACTTGTTTATTATGTGAGTTTTCAGGTACAGCGTTCACGAGAAGATTGCTAATTTCATGGCCCCGGTGCCTATGACGGTTCCTCCAATGGCTTCGAAATTGTTCGAGAATTTGTTTGGAATGGGCAACCTGCAGAAGTCAGCCGCGGTCTGATTTTAAGAGATGTCTGAAATGTTGTTAAAGCTAGTTTCACGTGATGGGTGGTAATATGTGAAACGGAAGTAATACCACAAAACTTGTACCCAGACATGCCTGGCCTATGTATGAGGATGAGTGTCATGAATATTACTCCCTCCGTCCCATAATATAGGACGTTTCTGGACACTATGCTAGTGTCAAAAAACGTCTTACATTATGGGACGGAGGAAGTAGTTGCTGATCTGATTAGTAAGATGCCTTCGAATTCTTCATCTGTTAAACATAACAGAGAATTAGCAAGAGAATTGTCGCTGTATTCTTCAACTGTGGACTATGAAGCCAAGTTTCTTTTTGCCCCTTTTTTTGTGCTTGGGTATGGAAGCAAGGTCATAGCATTGCTTCTGCAAAGCAATAAACATCAACGCCCTCTTATCTGAGTTGTGTAATGTTAACCATAAAAATTGTAGATTAACAAGTATAGCTTTGATGGTGCAAGTCTCTTGTCTAAGCAACTAATTTTGACATAACAACATCATGGGGATTATTATGTCCTCCGTTTTTACTTATTCTTTGTCTTCAATCAAATTTTATAAATTTTGACCAATTTTATAGAAAACATCGATAACTACACGTGCATACCTCTGAAAAATGTCGCAAGAGAAAACAACAGTTTGCTCATCGCGAGAGTGAGAGAAAGCGAGCGAGAGAGGGGGGAGAGAGAGACGCCTTAGAATTAACCATATTCAACACATATTTTTTTATTATTTTGTGTGAACATCGAGGCCATCGCTGGCGAGGATGAGAAGGAGGATAAGCGGCAACACAAATATGATGCCTCGCAAAAATAAAGGAGATGAACCTATTGTGGTCTTGAGTGATGGTTGTTGAGTTAAGAGTGTATGTTATGTTTTCTCTCCCGTTGCAACGCACGGGCTCTTTTGCTAATAAAAACAAAGGAAGTATATTCTGCCGTGGGCGATGAAAAGAAAGCATTGTAGGCCAAAAGGGTCAGATCAAGAGATAATCTTATTGGCCATGGGCGATGGGAAGAAAACGTTCTAGGCTTTCCTTTCCCCAATACACCCTCCTCATCAAATCCAAACGGGGAGATCGAGAAATGCAAATTTTCAGGAAAGGAGCGCATGGCACGGTCAGTTGTCATTTTCCCTTCCACACGTGATCATCCGAACCTCAGAGCCGACAGGTAGAGAAACCCTAGTCGCCTAGGGTCGCAACTCAATGCAAAGGGACGGGCCTCTCAGCGTGGCCTGGTGGTCGCGGGCAGTGATATGTTCCTTCTCTGTAGTTTTATTCATGAGCTTAGAAACTTCAATTTTGAAGCTCACAACGAGTCGCCGCAAGCTCTTTCTCTTGTATTGGCCGACATGTCTAGTTAGGCCATTCTTGTGATCCTATGTTAGTTCCTGTAAACATCATGACTGGATAAACAAAGCTTCGCAGGATTGTCTAATATAAAAAAAAAGGAGTTCAGGTTTAGGTTGTGCAGTTCAGGTTCATCACACCAGCACATTGAGCACACATTGTTTCAGAAATTCAGGTTTAGACATTCACGCTGTTACGGGACAGATTCGGTGTGTAATAAAAGAATTGACAGAGCATATTTGCAATATTATATAACAATCATTGCACATATTACATAAAACTCTTCCAAGGGTCCAACCGCAATTAGTTACGGTTTCCTTTGCTTCCTAATATACAGCTCACGTGTTGTTATTATTATTCAGCCCCTTCCACTAATCACCACCTTCATCACGCATTATTACCCGGTGACATAATTTCCTTCAGCTGACAGAAATACCAGGCCTACCATCACCTATAGCCGGGCCTTGACTTGACTTGCTGCTGGTGCACTCTGCGCATGAAAATTAAGTGGTATCATATACTGTATCACATTTCACTGTATCAGAACAAGATGAATTACTTGGTGGTCTAATATTGAGGTACATGCTTTCATTCTGGCTGAAACAAATAGAAACTACTAGTACTTCTACTAGTGAAGGAAATAGCTAGGCGTTAAAGTTTTCAGCTGAAACGAAATGCCACTCATGCTCACCAGAGGAATCCCCTTCGCTGCTCTTTCGGCGAGGTAGGAGCAAGGCTCGAAGAAGCTGCCGTACCGCTTCGCCCACTCCTGCAACTTGCCGTGGATGTATTTTGCGCCGATTGAATCTCCCCATAACATGACCCCTCCCCTACAATACGTTGCAACAATTGACGGGCGAGTAAGTAGTTGCTAGTAAATCTCTACATCAGGGCCTGTAAGGTTCATAATAAGAGGCAAATTTGACCAGGGATCTTAAAAACAGACCTGTAAGGTGGGAAACCCATGCCGAAGATTGAGGCGATATCAAGATCCGACGCCTTGACCGCAATGCCCTCATCAAGGACACGGCATGCTTCGTTTATGACCGGGAAGAACACCATCTCGACTATGTCCTTGTCACTTAGCTTCATCAACTGGCATGTTTATGCAGAAAGTTTCAGCACTAGAGCAACTTGTTTCTTTTGCAAGAAATGCTACTTTAACCACTACAAGGATCTTGTCGATTTAGTCTGGATATTTTTACCAATACATATAACCATCCATTCAATATAAACCAAGCTATATTCGCTCATCTAGTACATGAGATACTATAAACATCTACTTCTGGTTTGCTTCTTCCACAAAACACAATTGCCATCCATAATACAAACATAAACAGCAACATTGTTTAAAAAAATGTAACGGCATTTTTTTTTGAGAAATTGTTCCTAATTAATGTCCCCTTCTCAATGCTAGAATCATAAGAGCAGATCAGAAAAGCAAATATGCCAAGCATGAACCACTATAGTCATTCTATTACTGCACATGCTTTCACCGGAAAGCTGCGGAATTCTCTAGGAAAATACAACAGAGATTAGCCAAAAATCAAAAGATGAACCAAACCAAACCTCAGCGTCGGGAGTAACTCCTGCCATGCTCCTAGATTTCTGAATATACGTCATAATTTCAGGATCAGGAGTTGCCTTCCTCCTATCCTCGTACTTGTAAAATCCCTTCCGACTGGCTTCGCCTACATGAATGGTTGGTCAATCATGGTAACACATTTCAGAAACCAGTACAATGTACAAACATTAACTGAAAAAGAACAAATATGCATGATATACTGGTGATGTTTGATAATTTTACCTGCTCTTTTGTCCTCCATCATAATAGGGATTAACATGGACTTGTAGACTCTCTCCGGGAAATTTTCAAGGTACTGCATACCAGTAGCCACAGCAACACCAAAACCAACAAGATCTGCAAGCCTGCATATATATACATAAAATAGTTAGCAGCTAGACTGAGTCCATCTAGCATCGCACGAAAACTATCATACGAAACGTTAAGAATGCCACAGGAGCTTATATATATTCAGGAAAACAATACAGAATTATATATCTGACCTGAATGGACCCATGGGCATTCCAAATTTGGTACATGCACGATCGATCTTGTAAACATCCATACCATAATCAACAAACAGGAGTGCTGACTGGGTGTAAGGAAAGAACATCCTGTTGACGGCAAAACCAGTACAATTCCCAACCACTATTGGTGTCTTCTTGATCCTCTTCCCGACATCCAGCAAGTCAACAACAACCTGTGCTGAAGTGTGCTGGGTACGAACTATTTCCAGGAGCGGCATCACATGCGCAGGACTGCATAAGTAGTGCAATCAATTAATGGATGTACATCCAGAATTACTGTGCATCAATCAATATACGCTGCATTACCTAAAGAAGTGTGCACCAACAATACGGTCTTGGGACTTTGTTTTCTCTCCAATTAGATTAAGATCAATTGTAGATGTGTTGGTAGCAAGGATGCAATGGGAAGGGCAGTACTTCTCCAAGTCGGCAAATATTTGCTGCTTCAACTTCACATTCTCAATAACCGCCTGCAATTGTGAGAAATAACAGAATTAAGCATAAATGGCTAACTGCAATTAATTGCGGGTCATTAATAAGATTTAAGAATTGCCTCGATAACTAAGTCCACTTCTTTGAACTTTTCATAACCAAGGGCACCACTGAGAAGAGACATAGCCTTCTCGTATCTCTCCTCTGTCATTTTTCCTTTAATCACACGACTCTGCAAATTGGCTGGTGAAGCGAACCAGTGAGATAATTTTGTCTTTTTATTACAAAGATGCAGCGTAAAAGATTCCCAGGAAAAAATAGATATGACGAGGCTTAATCCTGTTTGTAGTACCTTTGATCCTGTCAATTCCAGCAATCAAAAATTTCTCATTTACTTCTTTCAGCAGCACAGGATAGTTACTCAGTATCATTGCGGTAGCAATTCCAGAACCCATAAGCCCACCACCTAGAATGGCGACTTTCGTTATTTTCCTAGGCATCAAACCCAAGTCTGTAGCACCAGGAACCTGACACATATTTTAGAGGATTAAGACATGGTGTAATTTGATAGTAACAATTAGAAAAAATGTCCTTCATACCTTTGATGTTGCACGCTGAGAGAAGAATACATGAAGTAAGCTTTTACATGTATCTGAGAAAAGAAGGCCCTGGAATGCGTTTGCTTCCTGCATTTACATTACAGAAGTGAATCCAAAATTCTGTATCCACAACAGGAAAATTAAATAAAGTAGCAGACTAGCAGTAACAGCATAAGTAGCATCAAGTACCTTCCAGAGCCCAGCTCGAGGTCCTGAAACTATACCTTCTTCAATGACATCAATACAAATAAGTGGGTGTTCAAGATTTGCAGCCTGCTTTCGAGCTTGAGCCCTTGCAAACTTGAGAATCTCCCTAGCCTCACCAAGGGGTTCCAGTTTGTCAGTCTTGTAAAGGCTTTTGATCCATGGCTTTCTGAGCTCGCAGATATCCAAAGCCCAACGACGAGCAGTATTCACCAAATCATTAGGAGAAACTACGGAATCAACAAGACCCAGTTGGTGTGCCTCTTCGCCCTTAATTGGCTTGGATAGCTGATGCAAACGGGTTGT